AGTGCTGGTTACCATTGACAGACTGTGCCTTCAAGAAAGGCTGGTTTGTTGAGACAGCAAGACAGTAGATCTCTGCACATATATGTAAGTTGATTGCTCTGCTGCCCTGTGGCTGGTGCAAGGGGAGTCATGCAGCAAGGCCCACAGGCTGTAACCATACTGGAGCAGAGGAGACTGTTGGCCCACCAAGGTGGCAGGTGCCTGCTACCATCACCCTGAACCTGCACACCTCTCAGTTTGATGGGAGCGGGCAGGGCTGGCAGCTCTCTCAGCTCATCCTGAGCCCTTGGGGGTGGAAGTGGTGCTGGGGAAGGGGTGCTTTTGCAGCTCCCTCCAGGGCCAGCAGCCTGCCAACCCAGCCCTCCTCCTGTGCCAGTGCCCTTAGGACAAGCCTAGTGCTGCTCTTGTTTTCCCAGAAGTAGGCAGGACCCCAGCTCAGGCTGTTGCAATCACATTGCTGAAATCAGGATCCTTACACCTGGCTCCAGCCCGCTGAGCTGCGTATACAGGACAGGAAGACTGAAAGCTCCCCAGCCTCAGAGATGGGCAAAGTCCTTCCAGGGACTTGCAGAGAGCAATTGATGTAGGATGAGGAGTGTCAAGACAGTGCTGGTAGTACCCTTTGGTGGAGAAACACCCAAAGTTAGGACCCAAGACACTGCAGGCAGCGATTCCTCACCAGCCTTAGCCCAGGGCTCCCTGCATAGGTACACAGCCTGGTGCGTAGGCTACGTGCTGTCCCTGAAGCCTTCACCCTGCTGGTCCCTGGGCTGCAAGAGAAGCAGCATGCAAGGTTGATGGTCACCAGCTTTAATGTCTGACTGGAGTAGGAGTCAGGCACTTGTAGGTCTCCTGGCCTGTACCTACCCCGCTGGGGGTGCTGGGAACCTCCCAGGAGGTGAAGCCTCAGCACAGGCTCTTGCTGTGGGGGAGACAGGGGGTGGGGGGCTGGCACTGCCCCCCCCCCCCCCCCCCCCCAGCAAGCCGCTGACTCACAGGATAATCTGGTTTTTGTAGCTGCGGCTCAGCTCCTTGTGAGGAAGGACGATGGAGTTAAGAATAACAACCTCAGCAGGGATGGTGACACTGCAGCCTGCAGATAGAGCGTGAGGGGTTAGCCCGAGGGAAGCCTCACTGTGTGGGGCTGGGTGCAGGTGGGACATACCCAGGATGGTGATGGATGGTGTGAGGCGCCCGTCCCGGAAAAGGGTCTCACTGTCGATCTTGGCATAGGGATCGTTTGGGTTGGGGTCACTGGGCGTTCCTTCAACCCGTGCCCAGCGCCCAATGGTGCTGTCCCAGCCCACGATGGTATTGAGGACACAGGTGTGGTCCTGGGTCACAGGGGAGGAGGATGAAGGGTGCTGCTGCCTCCCTGCAAGGGGAGGGGAATTGACACCTGCACCCTCAGGCAATCCCTACTTACATGGAGTGAGGCACCATGCAGGACTATGGATTCTCGCACGCGCACACCAGCTCCCACTGTCACCCCCTCCCCAATGGAGACATTGGGGCCCAGCTGTGAGGACAGAGGGAGGTAATGAGGTTGAGGACAATGGAGCCCTCAGCATCCCTGAGCATTGCCCTGTCACAGGGCCCCCCAGACCTGCACTCACCACTGCAGTGCTGTCGATGGAGGCCGTTGGGTGGATGTACACGTTCCCTGCAACACAAGGCAGCTGCATCAGGGAGGCAGGATTACCCACCTCTCAGATCAGGGGAGGTCCTGCCCATGGGTCCCACTGCCTCCCCAGGCAGCCCCCAAGGTGGCGGAGGATGTCAGATACCTCGGATGATAGGGCCTCCAGGTTTGTTCTGGGCCAGCCTCTCTGGGTGGCTTTTGCTGTACTGGTTCAGGTAAAGGCGGCTGGCATAAATAGCAGAGCTGGGGTAGGGAAAACATAAGATTGTTATTGCCTCTCCAGCACTAATCACAACAGGGGAGTGTCCAAATTCAGCACTTGCACCCACCCCCAGTTCCCTGCCTGGTCGCCCTCCTCTCCCATCCCTGAAACAGATCACTTGATGCTCCTGCTGCACCACCTCTAGCCACAGCCCTTACCCAGCTGACTTGATCTGGCTCCAGAAGCCATCAGTTTTGTAGACATACAGCTTGCCCCTCCCAGCCAGTGCTGTGAACACGTCCTGCTCTAGCCGGATCACTTCTGAACGCTGCCAGCCATTGGAGCTCTCCTCTCTGCAAGCAAGAGGCCTGTTAGACACCCACCCAGTCATAGCCTCAGCCAGGGACCCCAACAGGTACCCTCCCCAAATTCAAGGGCTTCGCTGATCCTAGCCTCCTACCTAGCCATGTACTTCTCCCCAGAGGTGCGGACAGCCCCAGCCATCAGGCTAGGCTTGTCCAGCCCCACTGAGCTCTAGAGCAGCAGAGGGACCAGGCTCTGACAGCTAAAATAAGCTCTGAGCCAGATGTTGATGGTGCAAGAGCCCCCACCCAGCCCAGGCAGGTGTTTGAGCAACGGATCCTGCCCCCGCTCCAGAGCCCTGCTCAGCTGGATTGTTGCTTGGGTGGTGGCAGAGAAGTCAGGTGACAATCTGGCTGGTGCAAGGAGCTGGATGGGGGAGCAGAGCATTCCCAGGTGAAAGGCTTGCTCTGCCCCTTGTCCAGAGCTGAATGAGGATGGGGTGGGACGCAAGGGAGGGAAAGGGGGAGTCTCAAGCTAGCCAGGAGGGGAGCAGAGGCAAAAGCAGCTTTGCAGAGCAGGCTGGAGGAGGGAGGAAAGCATGTGGTACTGCCAGGGACAATCCAGCCCTGAAAGCAGCCGGTGCAGACACAGAGGGAGACTTACCCACGGTAAGGATAGCTGGTGCAGGACCAGGAAACAAGTGAGTGATGGCAGAGGAGAAGAGAAGATAGAGAAAGAATGGAGGATGAGTGTGCTGCTGCAGCCCTGGGAAGCAGTGGGGTGGGAGGGACATGGGGCACAGAGAGGCACTCACAGCACTAGGTCTTGCTGGTTTCTCTGGAAGACCTCGCCAATGTGCTGGAAGACGGCAGGTGTGAACAGGTAGATGCCGCAGTTAATGATCTCACTGACAAACGTGCTGGGCTTCTCCACATAGTGCTGGACCTGCAGATGGGGGAAGAGAAGCGAGTCCCAGGGTGCAGCCCTCGTCCCTGGTGTCACTCCTCTGTGCACACTGGGAACATGCCTATGCAGGCAGTGCAGCACCTGCTGCCCAGGGCTCTCCAGTACCTCCTGAGTGTCTGCATTTGCCACGATACAGCCATAATTCAGTGCCTGCGTCCTGTTGGCCTGCAGAGTGAGGACATGTTAGCAGTGGCGGAGCAGCAGGCATGCAGAGCAGATGAGACCCACAGCTCACCCAGGCACCCATCCACCGCAGGAGCCGCTGGCTCCTAGACAAGCCAATGGCAAAGCTCCACTGCTCCCCAGCACTGCCACTCACTGTGGTACCCAGAATGACAAAGCTGTGCGCGTCCCCATGCTGCTGCCGGAACTCCAGCATCTCCTGCAAGGGGAACTCTGAGCACACGTCTGCGTTGAGGACAAAGAAGGCCTCAGCACCACCTGACAGGATCTGGTCTCGGAAGTGATAGATGCCACCACCCGTGCCCAGCGCCGCATACTCCTGGAGATACCTGCGAGCCAAGCAGGGAAAAGCAAGGGCTTATGGAAGCGGGTGTCTGGTGGCACAAACCAGCAGCAGGACAGGGAAGGGCTGTCAGGGGCTGGAGGGATATAATCTTGCTATGCAGTGATGGGGCTCATGTGGATGCTGGCACAGGGGAAGGAGACCAAAGGAGGGGAAGATGGCTTGGAACTGGGCTGGGGAGGCATCCTTGCAGCAAGAACCAGCCAGGGCAAGAAAATTTGGCAGAGCTAACATCAGAGTGGTAGTTATGCCCATCTGTGGGGGGACAGGGCCCACCTGTCCAGTGCCTGGGTGCTGGCTGGCATTTGCCAGCCTGGGGAGGCAGGTGTGCTGCCACGGGTATCCCGGGGGTGCAAGGGCTCCTGCCCACCTGATGGGGATCTTGAACTCCTGCTGTGCCGACACCAGAAAGCGGCTGAGGGCCTCGTGGGGCTGGTAAAAGCCCATCAGCAGGATCTCCTTCATGCCGGGCACCTGGGGAGGGCAGAGGTAACGGGCGGGACGGGTGCCCCCGGTCCCCCATTCCCCTCAGCCCCCATCCCCGCCGTACCTTGGCGCAGGCCTCAATTTGGTGCTGCACCATGGGCACGCCGGCCACCGGGAAGAGCGGCTTGGGCACCTCGAAGGACAGCGGCCGGAACCGGGTCCCTGCGGAGCACAGCGGGTTCGGCAGAGCCCGGCGGCGGCGGGGGACCCCGCGGGCCCCGCGCACTCACCTTTCTGCGGGCCCCCGATGAGGATCACCGCCTTCAGCGGCATCACGCCCGCCCGCTTCCGCACACGTGGCTGCCCAGACGTCAGCGCGCCGGGCTCTCTCCCCCTCGCTACGTCACCGCGCCGCGGGCCGTGCTTGCCGGAGCCGGGCCGCCAGGGGGCGCTCCAGTGGCGAGAGAACCGGGGCGGGCCCCCCGAAGGCGGAAGTGGGGACCGGTGGAGGAGGACACGGGATACGGGACCCGGCCGGTCTGTAACCGGAGCAGCCACCGCGGCCGCCCGGCCTCATATGGGCAGCGTGTATTTATAGCCGGGTACCGCTCGCCTGCACCGGCTGAGTCCCGGCCTGAGACCGCCCCGGTGCCGCCGCCGTGCGCTCCTGCACCCGGTATTTTCACTCCATGAGCGGCCTCCCACTCTGCCGGGCGCCACTTGGATGACCTCCTGGCTGTACGTCCCTGGATTTTGGTATAGGGTCCTCCCGAGAGTGCTCTGCTCGCGCCCCCCCCCCCAAGTGAGGCACGGAGACGTGACCGGCTGCTCACGGTCTTTATTGCTGCTCTGGCGCGTCGCTTGCTCCAAACCACGCAGACGTCGGCAAGTCCGGAGAAGGGGATAGGGATAGGGAAAGGGATGGGGATGGCGATGGCGAGGGGGATGGAGATGGGGTTGGGCAGGCGCCTTCTCCCGGAAGTCAATAAATAAAGCCCTATTGCTACAGCAGCATCTGGAAGGTGGGTGCCCAGCCGCTGCCCTGTCCCCAGCCCAGGGCACCCCAGAGCATCCTGCTGCCAGCCGGGGAAGGGGCACGGGGCTGTGCAATGGCACCGGGGTTTGGGGTGAGGGTTGGTGGTGGAGATGTGTGAGGAGGCCTGGGGGGGTGGGCTGGTGGTGGGGCATAGGGCAAGGGCCAGAACCAGGCACGCAGAGCACGAGCAGCCTGGGCCTGAGAAGGCGCAGGGGGTGTGCATGGCACGTGGTGTCCCCCTGCAAAGAGGGGTGCCAACCAGACACCCTGCCCCAATACAGGGTGCAACCGACAGCCCCAGGGAAGGCACCGGCGTCGGTCCTGGGGCCACAAACCCGCTTCCAGGACCGGGGCTGGGAGGAGTGGAAGGCGGGGTCTGGCAGCCCCAGCTCCCAGCCATGAGGAGTGGGGCTGTGCCGGCTGGTGAGATCCAGGGCAGCAGGTGTGAGCAGGCCCCTCGCTGCAGGAACCACTGGAGCAGCCTCAGTCCTTGGGCACTGGCGTGCAAACCGGGGGGAGCACAGGGACCCCCACACCGTGGCCAGGGGCAGCTGCAGACTGCGGCTTAAGGCACACGGCTGGCAGGACCCGTGTGGCCAGGGCTGGCTGGCATGCTGGCGTCTCTCCTGCTCCTGCCTGGGGCTTTCCTTCCCTTCCTGTCCTCATCTCCTTCTTCCAACCCTCTGCAACATTCTCTGTTCCTCACACCAAGGCTTCCCGCCGCCCGCCCTCTGCCAGACCCCACTGCCGGGCTGGCTGGGGCAGCACTTCCCCTTTCACTCGGCACCATCAAAATTATGCTGGCCACCACCATCCTTGGTGGCAGCGTGAGGTCCATGGGCTCATCCCAGCACGTCCTGGCTCCTCCTCAGCCGCCCTGTCCCATGGCCCCTGGAATGTTACTCTGGCTCCTCGGCCCCTCACGGCCGTGGCCGAGGCTCTAGCTACTGTGGCCCCGGTGGCTGGCCGCCCTGGTAGGAGCGGAGTAAGACCTTGTGCTTGGTGACAGCTTCACTGCGGCGCCGCTGGTGCTCCACCAGGAACTCCTTGAGACGGTTGGTGGTGAAGGTCAGGGTCTGGCGGCGCAGCTTCATCAGGTAGGCATCCTGGAGCCACGTGTTGACAAAGCAGTCCTTCACCGTGGGACGGCTCCTGGGGCAGGGGCAGCTCAGTGTCACGGGTAGCAGGGTGCCTGCTGCCAGTGCACCCCCGAAACCCAGCCACCACCCTGCCCTGCAAGACCCAGGGGGTCCCAGCCCTCTCCAGGAGCAGGGGTGGATCCCAGGGCCCTGGGCTCAGGAGACCACAGCCCTCACCCAGAAGCACAGATGAACCCTAGGTGGACATTGATGATGCTCCATCTGGGAGCAGGGAGCTGCCCACCTGGCCCAGTTGCAGGCACCATCCAGAGGCCCAAGTCCTCCCTGGCTGGGCCAGGCACTTACCAGGGGTGGACAGCAAGGACCTTGCGGATGAAGAGGGCAGCACTCTGTGAGACGTTGGGGTACAGCTTGAAGGCATCAAAGCGCCCCGCCAGGATGCGGTTCTCTGTCTCAATGGGGTCCAATTCAAAGAACGGTGACCGCCCACTGAGCCTGTCAGGATGGAGGGGATGGTACAAGATGGGGGCAGTGGTGGGAGGGCACCTGCCCCCCATCCCTGGTTTGGGACAGCCACAACTGTCCAGGTCATCTCAATCCCCATGTCTAGCTGGGAAAGGTCTGCAGGGCTATAGCATCCCCCAGCCCACTATCATCCAGGTGTTCCCTGTGGCACTGAGCCCTGTGCAGGGCTGATGACACCTCAGGGTACTCATCCGCCCCCCCCCCCCCCCCCGAGCCCCTTCTCTTACATGATGTAGGTGAGGACACCAACGCCCCAGACATCTGCTGCAGAGCCCACTGGATCTCCCTTCACCACCTCTGGCGCTGCAGGTAGAAGAGCAGTTCTGTCATATGCACCAAGGGGTCCAGCCCCAGCACCTGCAGCACCTCCAGAACCCACAGTATCCTCAGCACCCAGAGCACTCACAGTATCTCCAGCACCCACAGCATCCCCAGTATCCACAGAACCCATAGCATCCACAGCACCCACAGCACCCCACCACTGCACCCCCCTGCACCCCTCCCTCACACCCTAACACCCTGACAGAGCCTAGCACCTGCAAGGATTCCCCAGCTGACCCCCAGCACACAAACTCTCCCACCAAGCCCAGCAACCCTCAGAAACCCTCAGCAGACATCCCCAGCACCGCAACAAGCTCATGCTCCCCCAAGGATACCTCAGCTCCTCCCCATTCCCAAGCACCCTAGTGCACAGGCACACTTGGGCACCAGCATGCCCATATCTGCCCGATCCCTCTCCCCATGCACCACACCCGGTGCCCCACTCACACATGTACTCCAGGGTGCCAACACGCCGCCCCAGCTGCCGTAGCACGAGGGGGTTGTAGGTCTGGGCACTGCCAAAATCGATGATTTTGAGCGAATTCATGCCTGAGATGAGGATGTTGTCTGGCTTGATGTCGAGGTGCACGATGCGGCGGCTGTGCAGGTACTCGAGGCCCTGCAGCAGCTGTAGCACGTAGCTCACCACATCATCCTCTGAGTAGCGAAACCTGGGGTGGGGATGGCAAGTGGCATCAGCCCCGTGCTGGCACCCATCCCCCATGGCCCTGCACCCACCCATACCTGTCCACGATACTGTAGAGGATCTCCTTGCCAGCACAGTTCTCACAGATGAGCACAAGGTAGCGGGGAGTGATGTATGCCTCGTGCAGGGCCATGATGCGCTCGTGGTGCAGTGCCTTAAGGATCTCGTACTCCTGCAGCACGCTCTGCTTCCGCTCTGCCTCATAGGGCACAATCTTGGCCATGAAGAGCTTGCCCGTGGCATTCTCCTTGCACAGCCGGATCACACCGAAACGGCCCCTGTGGCACAGGGTGGCACTCAGCATCCCTGGTGAAAGGTGCTGGTGGGGGGGACACCCCTGGCAGAGCATCCCATCCCACTGCTCCTCACCTCGCCTTCTCGTCCAAGAACGTGTATGGCTTCTGGGGGACACCCTGCCGCAACACAGTGCTGTCTTTTGCCCCTGGGACCCCACCCTCAGCTGGAGGCTCCTTGGAGGCTGGAGGCTCCTTGGAGGATGGGGGGGTGGGGGTGGTCTCCTGCGTAGGGGGTGATGTGGGGGGCATGGAGACAAAGGAGGTGACCATGTAGGGGGGCATCTTCCGTGTGGGCACAGCATTGGGGGTGGGAGACACGGTGGGGGCTGAGCTGGGGGTGGTCGACACCGGGGAAGTGGGAGATAACTTTGAAGGAGATGGAGCCTTGGGTGTTGGGGATGTGTCCGTGGGGGGTGTGGGGGAGCCCTGGGTGGGGGTCTCTGTGTGGGGTGAGGTGACAGTCCGAGGGGGGGTGAACATCAGCTCAGGGGGCACACAGACAGTGATGTTGGGTGGGAGCTCAGGGTCTGGCTGTGGCCCCTCTTCACGGGGTGCAGGGGGCTGGAGGACCACTGGGGGGGCACCCTCCTGCTCTGCCCCATCTGCCTTCTGCACCGCTCCCTTGTGCTTGCGGGGCGGTGTGGTGGGAGGGGGCCGCACAGCTGGCAGCTCCAGCTGCCCCATGGGTGTCTGGGTCGATCTGCTGGAAGCCACCTTCTCGGGGATGGGGACAGCAATGTCCTTAGCTGGGGCAGCTTGGGCGTCTGTGGGGAGCAAAGGGAGGAATGAGCCAGTTGGGCATAAGCCAGGAGCGGGGTGCAAGTGGTGCCTTGTTCCCCAAAGCCCTAGGGGGAAGATCCCCCAGGACTCAAGGACCCCCAGAGCACCTCAGAGGCTGCAGCCCCACAGCCACCCCCATGGCAGCCTCACAAGTTGCTGGAAGGGGCTTGCTCACCTTCTGCCTCAAGGTGCACCTTCGCTGATAGGGTGCTGTAGGGCCCCTGCCCAGCCTTGTTGACACAGGCCACTCGGAACCTGGCGGTTCTCCCGGGGGGCAGCTCTGTCACATTGAAGTAGCAGTCGATGATGCCAGTGCTGATGATCTTCCACTCGTGCTCTCCTGTGGGCACAGGGGCACGGTGAGCTGAGGATAGACCAGGGGCAGCCCCCCTGCCCCCCCCACTCCTGCCCCAGGGCCCCACCAATACCCAGGGAACAGAAAGGACATTGGGCACTTTTGTCCTGGCTTGGTGTACTGATGTGAGCCCATTTTCCAGCTGCAGCTTCCAAGGGGATGGGAGACAGCCCCACGTACCATCCAGCCTGCGCTCCAGTGTGTAGGTGCAGGGGGCTTTGCTCTCTGCAGGCTTCCACAGCACCAGCACAGTGTTCTTGTATTTCTGGGGGATCTCCGGGGTGCCCGGCCGCCCAGGGAGCCCTGCAAGGGGATACACAGGGTGGGCTGGGTACCCGGCCAGGGGCAGGGCAGAGCTGCTGCAGTGCAAGGTCAGCGCAACACGTGAGCTCAGAGGTGCGCAAAACCAGCCTGTCCCAGCTCAACAGTCCCAGTCACTTGCAGACATGAAGAGCGGAGTTCGTGACCTGCTCTGACCATTCCCCAGCCCCCAGGGTGCACGCTCAGCATATGCCCTCTCCCCATGGGCCAGTACCTCTGTTCCAGAGGTCCCTCCCTCCTCCTTACGTGCCACAGCCAGGGTGCAGGAACTGATGGCTGTGCCCAGGGTGTTGGCAGCTGCACACTCATACAGCCCTGCATCCTTCCTGGAGACTTTGGCGATGGTGAGCATCTGCCTGCCATCCTTGCAGGAGACGACGTTCAGCATGTTGTCTGGCTGCAAGGACCTCTTGTCTGTGGAGGAGAAGCAAAGGAGAGGGATGCTGGAGTGTCTGACCGGCACCCACCCACTGAGGCAGCACAGGCAGCCCCTCACCTTTCATCCAGAGGATCCTGGGGGTAGGGCTGCCTGCTGGCAGGCAGCAGAGGGTCAGCGCCTCACCCTCCAGCAGCACCTGGTCCTTCAGCTTGATGTGGAAAATGGGTGGGAAATCTGGAAAGCAGAAGGGGGTCAGGCCGGGGCAGCAATGCGCACCTGCCACCCATCCTGGGGCTGCACCTACCAGAGTCGCTGGGCACGTGCAGCCGGCCGGCGGCAGGTCCCTCCTCCCGCAGCAGGCTGGAGGGGATGCTGGGCTGTGAGGACACCTTCTCCTTGCTCCGTGAGAGGCCCCAGCGCTCCCAGCGGGACCGCTTCTGGCTCTCACCCCCACCTGTGAGCACCCAGGGTCCTGAGAGAGTGGCCAAACTGCGGCAGCTGTGGCCGGAATGGCTGGGCTATGGGGTGCCATTGCGACATCCTCCTTGCCACTCACCTTTGGCAGAGCTGGTGCTGCCTTCCGAGCGCAGGGACTCAGAGGAGGGTGCAGGTGCTGGGGCAGGGCCCGGCCGCAGGCTTTCCCCCTCAGAGCTTGTGCGGCGGAGCTCAGGGGGCCCCTCGCCCTCCTGCCGCTCATCCGACACACTGCGCAGCCGCGCGGAGACCCGCTCCACTGTGGCACTGATCTTCCTCCGCACGGCCACCACTGGTGACTCACTCTCCCCACCACCCCCTGGCTCTGACTTGACACTCTCTGAGTCCCTCCGCTCCTTGGAGCTGCCCAAGGCCAGGTTCCAGGACAAGCGGCGCCTGCTGAATGGGGTCTCGCTGCCTCCATCCTCCCCTCTGCTCTTCTTCCTCTCTGCAGGTGGGGTCCGCTTGAGGAGGACAGACATCCTCCGGATGAAGCCCCTATCCTTCTCCACCTCGTGCAGGTCCTGCACCGACTTGGACTTGGCCACCAGCCCAGAGGGCCGGTCCCTGCGCATCTCCAGGGGCACGCCGGCTGGCATGGGGCGGTAGATGCCATCATCTGGGGGGCCAGCCAGGTGCCGGTCCTCAGACCGGGAGCGGGTGAGGAGCTTCAGCCCCCTGCTGAGCGATGACTCCCGGCCCCGCTTGAACTTGGCCTCAAAGACCTCCTCCGAGTCGATGTCCTGGATGAGCAGGGAGCTGGAGGAGCCAGAAGGCTTCACCTCCCTCCCTGATTCTGGTGCTGGTGCTGGTGTTGGCACGGAGTGTTCAGTAGGGGTGGCCAGAGGGGGCTGGGAGGCTTGCTCTGTGGCTGGCTCCCTACCTTGTGTGGCTCCCATAGCTTGCATGACCTTGGCGTAGGAAGATGTTTGGGGGCCTTGGGTGCCTGGGGCCGCGGGCAGTGATGGAGAGGGTGTTCCTGTCCTGGCAGCTCCCTCCCCGCTGGCTCCAGCACCCTTGGTGGGTGTCTTCTGCTCTTGACCCCTAGCCATAGGCTTCTTCCCTGTGGTGGTGGCAGTGGCACTGGTCCCGGGCTGGCTGCGCTCCTCAGGGATCTGCCTCCTCCCCAAGGCAGCCTTGGCAGTGGGGGCCTGGGGGACGGCCACCTCTACTGCAGCAGGTGTTGGTGGGCCAGGGGCATCCAGTGGCACTGAGGGCCGGGCATCAGAGAGAGCTGAGAGCGAGGGGGACTCCTTGAGCCGCTGGGCCTCCAGGTGTGCCACCGGGATCTCCAGGGGTGCGCCGGAGCGGCGGTGCCGGACGACAGGCTCGGCATCCCCGTGGCTGAAGGAGCTGCTCTTCTGCAGCCGGCGCTCAGTGAGGAGGAGGCGCGGCGAGGTGGCCTCGCTGGACGCTGCCCGCACCAGCCGTGGCACCGCTGGTGCCGGCGGCTCCAACCGGGTCGGCCTCGGGACCTTCTTGCCAGGGCCGACCCCCAGGCTCTCCAGGAGGGGGCCCCGCAGGCCGCTGACCTTGCCGTCCCCGGGGCCGCTCCGCAGCAGCCGCTGGCGCATCAGCTCCAGGCGCTGGGCATGATCGTCCTCCCCAAAGGTCCCCTTTCGCCGCGGCAGCTCCATGGAGGCCGCCTTGGCCAGGGGCCGGCGCGGCTCCCGGCCTGCCTCGGCCCTCTCCGTGGTCCCCGGCAGCAGGGCGCTGTCAGCCGAGCCGCCCCTCTTCAGCTCTCCCCGCCGGGTGCTCCCCGGGGACTCCAGGCTGGAGCCCTTCCTCATGGCTTTGCGGGGGTACTCTGGCCGCTTCTGGGCTTCGGGGGCTTCTTCGTCAGAGGAGCCAGGTGCCTCCGCTTCTGCGCTTGGCCGCCGTGGCACAGTGCCCCTTGGTCGCTTCCCCAGGCCCACTGCAGGCTTCCCCGTGCCCTGGCTCTGCCACTCCATTGCAGAGATGTCCCCCGGCACGACCCCCTCCTGCCATGTCCCCTCAGATGTCCCGATGGCCTCATCGTCCGTGGGGATCTCATTGAGCGACATGCGGGAGCCAGAGAACTCCACCTGGTGTGGCATGGGGATGAAGGGCAGCTCATCCAGGTCATCCGAGTCTGAGGAGGATGACAGTGCTGGTGACTCTTTGAGGTGCCGGGGCACAGCGATGGAGAGGTGGTTGGACGTGTCCTCCAGCAGCTCCGGGATAGGCCGCAGCACCATGTTGCACTTGTAGCTGATCTGCGAGCGCTTCAGTGGAGAGAGCTGGATCAGGCCCAGGCAGGTGGCATGGCATCATCTTACCCAGTGCACATCACCCCTTCCTGCCCAGCACACAGCCCTGCCTGACCCCTCCCTCCCTTGCTCCTCCTTCACCTGCCATTTCCTGCGTGAGAGGAAGAGCTTCAGGTGATCGGTGCTGATGACCTTCCCCTTGGCCAGCGTCTGTGGGGCGAAGGGACAGCGGTGTCCCACAGAGCCTGCAGCAGGCCCTGGGGAACCTCGCTGGGTCCCTGCCTGCCCAGGCTCACCTTGAACCAGGGATGCTCCAGGGTCTGCTCCGCATTGGGCCTCCTGTGGACCGACACCACTGGGTGAGGACTCACCTTGATGGAGGGCTTTGGCCAGCCAGGGGAAGAGCAGCAGGGTCTGGCTGCCCAGGCTGCATGCCATCAAGGGCTGTGCAGCCAGCCTGCCCTCAGGTCCCCTGATGCACAGGGGTCCTAGAGGGGCCAGGCCCTGGGACCCTGCATTACTCACAGCCTGTCATTGACCAGCACTTTGATGACAAATCCCTTTGCTTCCCGGGTGAGCCCCTGAAACATCCTCTCCTCAAAGGCCACGTTGTAGTTGCGGATGTTCATCAGTGTTGTCTTATCATTCTCCCCCACGAAGGGGGAGATCCCCGTTAGGCTGCCAAGGAGAGGACACTGTCTTTAGGCCATGAGGACACAGGGAACAGCATGGCAAGTATGGAGGACTGAGGATGGAACGTGAACCCCAGCCCTGGTGCCATGCGGAGGGCAGAGGCAGGAGCAAGGGATAGGAGGCAGAGTCTGCAAGGAGCAGTGTGCATGGCTGCAGCCCCAGCAGTGCAACCAGCAAGGGGGTGGAAAGGTATCTCTCCCATGGTGGCCCACCAGGCACTTACCAGAGGTAGGCGATGACCCCCACGGGCCTGCGGAGAGAAGAGCATGGTTACAGCACAGCACAAACCCTCCGGGGCATTTGGTTTCAGCGCAGTGGGGAGCCTGTTGTCCACCCTGGTGCCACCCTTACCAGACATCAGTGACACTGGAGACAGGGCTCTGGTTGACGATCTCAGGGCCCACGAACTCGGGGGTGCCGTATTTGCAGTACTGTGGCTCCTTGGGTGTTAGCTCCTGCGCATTGCCAAAGTCACAGATCCGGACCTGCTCGCTGCTCGAATCCGCCATCAGGAGGTTTTCTGGCTATAGGACAGTGCAGGGCAGAGAGGACCTTGGCAGGAGGCAGGGGGTCCCCCCAGGGAAGGGATATTCTCCATCAGCAGGCCTGAGCCCCTTGCAGCGCAGCAGGAGCCAGTCCCTGAGGGCACAGGGCTGGAGGGGGCTGGAGAGCCCTGCACTCACTTTGATGTCCAGGTGCAGGACCATGTGCTGGTGCAGGTAGCAGAGCCCCTCCAGGATCTGCCGCATGTAGGACCGGACCTGCAAGAGAAGGAATGGAGAGGGTGTCCACCCTCTGAGCGTGGGTCAGCCCCACACTGGCCTTGTGCAGCCCCCTTTGCAGCCTGATATAATGAGCATTCCATGTCCCTCGGTTGGGACAAGCCCCAGTATCCCCAGGCTCCCTCCTTGTCCTATCACTTTGGCCCCAGAGGGTTCACCCACCTCAGACTCACACACTGAGGGCTTCCTCACCATCCTGTCCAGCAGCTCCTCCTCAGCACAACTGGCCCTCAGTCAAGGAGCACAGAAACTCATTGCCCTGCTGTGCCCTGCACCCTCCCAGCACCCAGCTCCTCTGCACTGGCTTTGCCCACCAGCTTCCACCAAAAGCCTCCCCTCATCCCCTGTGCCACATGTTCCCAGAGCAGCACCCAGAGGATACAGCTCCATGACCATGATGACAGCGCTCTTCTTCTCGAAGGCATCATGAAAGAAGACGATGCGCTCGTGATCCAGCTGTGAGAGGATGTGCAGCTCCCGCCGTGCTGACTGCTTGGCCTTGGTCCTCCCAGGGACAAACTTGGCGGCAAAGTCCAGATGGCTGCTCTTCTCTGTCACCCTTCGCAGGTAGGAGAAGGCCCCCCTAAAATGCAGTGATGGGGGCAAGGGCAGATAAGCAGAAGACCCCTCTTTCCCTTTCTGCAGGTGCCTGCTCTGAAGGGAGCTGCCTACAGCTCCAGCAGCTCTCCAGGACTATCCAGGCCTGGTTTTGCTCCAGCCACACTGACTTCCCACCGGTAGCTGGTACCAGAGCACCCATTGACATGAAGAGCTGCCCCAGTATAGCAGGATTTGATGTACCATGGAGCTCAGACCCCAGGGCCAGCTTGGCTCCAGCACCCCGGTCCCTGCACTGCCCTGTGCCCACTGTGCCAGCGGCCCTGTACCTCCCGATCTCCTCATGCACATCATAGTAGTCAGTCAGGCGTCGGGCCTTGTGCAGCGCCTCGTCCTCCATGCTGGCATCTGCAGCGGGCTGGGCTGCAGGAAAGAAAGGCGCTGGTGGGGAGCAAGCCGGGCAGCCAGGCTTTCCAACCCTGGGTGGGGGCCGGCCAGCCGTACCTGCCCGCACCACCAGCTCCGCCTTGCAAGACACCTCCCCAGCCAGGTTCTTGGCTGTGCAGGTGTAGACGCCGCTGTCAGGCTCGGCAGCGCCCAGCACCACCAGGGAGCACTCGTTGTCCTCGTACACGAAGCTCAGGTGGCTGCTCTCCTCCAGCAGCTCCCCATCCTGGGAGTGGCAGGGGCATCAGGAGGGTCCTGTCGCTTCCCCACCACCCTTTCCCCATGGATGGGACATGGGCCGCATCCTGCGTCACGTGGGATGAACACAACCCCAAACCCCGACACAGTAGCCCAAGGTGAGGCAGCGGAGGGTGTCAGTCTGGGTGGTCTGTAGGTCAGGAAGGGCATGGGGGGAGTTCCAGCCCACCTTGTACCACATGATGTCTGGCAGTGGTTTCCCCTCCACCACCACGGCAAAGCGCGGTGTCTCCCCTTCCTGGGCATCGATGTCCTCCATGATGGACTCAAAGCGGGGTGCCTCTGCCAAAAGATGGGGCATGTGGCACCACAGTGCAGTGCCACCCCCCTGCCGCTGGCAGGGGGCATAAGGCACTGCAAGGGGCACTGTAAGGAAGTAGCAGCCTATAGTGGCATGGAACTCTGTGGGGCAATGCCACCCCAAAGCACATGGGAGTGGAACACTATGGGGCAGGCCAGCAATGGCATGCGCCTGCAGCACCATGGAGCAGCTCCCCCATTGGTGTGAGGCACCATGGGGTAGTGCCACTCATGGCACATTGGCAGGGGACACTTGTGGTACTGCATCTCTCATTATATATGGGTGTGGGGTACAGGTGGGGCAGTGCCACCCATGACACCTCTGTGGGGCACTGTGGAGGTATCCCCTTAGGCTCTTGGCTGTAGGGCACCAGGTGGCATTGCTACCCCATTATACACAGGTATGGGACACCCTGCAGAAGTGCCACCTCATGCATACAGTCATGGGTCACATGGGACACTTCTACCCAAGTCAGATATGGGTACAGGATACCAGCCAGCAGTATGAATGCATGCATGGTTCATGGGTTTTCAGCCCCATTGCGACCCTACAGAGCAGCATACTCCACGGCATACGAATATGGAGCACTGAGGAGCAGCACCATGCTATGAACATGGCACATGGGCATGGGGCACCATAGGGCAGCATCACCCTCGACCTTGTGGAGCACCAAAAGGCAATGCCGCCCGTGGTGCAGGGCACCTACCTGCGAGGCAGAGGCGTAGGGTGCAGCGGGCAGTGCCATGGCGGTTGCTCACCTCGCAGGTCAGTGGCCCTGCAGCCCCTTGGCCCACACACAGCAGCCGCAGGCAGTGCTGGTCGTCGTCTGGCATCGTCACCTCGCACATGCCCTCCAGCTCCCCCAGCACCTGCCCACCCCTGCGGGCACAGCAGCTGCCCCATTACAGCCCCACAGGCAGTCCCAGACCCCCTGCCCCATCCATAGATCACACCCCACAGCCCCATGGCCACCTTCTGATCCACAGACAGCCCCTGCTCCCACCCTGCAGCCCCATGAACAGCTTAGCTCCCATTGCTGACTCTGCCCCTTGAATGGCTCTTGACCCTTAGCACCACACAGACAGCACCCCCCCGACACCCCATCCTCCCCCCCATGCAGTTCTGCTTAGCTCTGGACATCACCCTTGGGTGCAGGTCCAGCCCAGCCCCAGGGAATGACCCCCACCCATCACAGGCTGCACAGGAAGCTGATGCAGGAACCCCTCTGTGCATTCCATGGGGTGATGCTGGGCATGGGGCAGACAACATGTGCAGTGCCATGTCCTACCTCTTCCAGGTGACAGTGGCCTCCACGTGGTTGATGGTGATGGTGATGGAGGCTGTCTGGCCCTCCACCACGTACACCACATCTGGCTTGTCCAGGATGACGGGGGCTTCCTCCAGGTAGGGACCTGCCACACACATCATCACCACCTCCTCTGGACCCCACATCACCCAGCCCAGGGCAAGCTCACCACCCCACTGTGGACAGAGAACCCTCCACCCCAGCCACCCATTCCCTCCCCCCCTGCCCCTCTCACCCCGGTCCAGGAGCTGCACAGGCCCTACAGGTGGGGACGGCTTGCTGTTGGTCTTGGGGGTGGCAGTGATGACACGGAAGAGGTACTGGGCACCCTTGGTCAGCCCATGCACCGTGTAGGTGGTGCCTTGCACACTGGCCACCAGCACCAGCCACTGTGTCGTGCCCAGCACTTGCATTTGCACTGTGTAGGTCACTGACTTGGGGTCTGCAGGGGAAGAGGGTCATTGCAGAGGCCCCAGCATTGGGCTGGCCCATGCAGCCCACCATGGCACTGCCCACCCCTTGCCTGTTCCCAGCCCCCTTACCTATGGCAGTGTCCAGCCACTTGGGCTTGTTCCAGGTCAGCGTGATGGCTCTGCCGGTCACCAAGGCCACATTGGGGGGACCATCCGGAGGGGTTGGCACCACATCTGTGGCGGGGGACAGGCAGGGATATGAGTATGGCCACTGCCACAGCTCCTCAGGGAGAGGGCTGGAGGGGACGGATGGGGCCAGCAATCTGCACTGGTTCCCCAGGAGGGGCTCAGCCTTGCAGCCCCTGTGGGGCCAGTGATGCCAGCAAGTCCCACATGGGACCAGGGATGGATCCTGACCCTGCAAGGTCCTGTGATCCTACCACCCTAAGACCTCGCTACAGGGCCACTGACCCCAGCCCTGGGGCACAGCCTGGCAGGGTGGCAGTGGGTGGCCGCACATCTCTGGTGGTGCCGCTGCTGCTCACCGGTGACATAGAGGTGCGCGTAGCATGTGGCCTTCCCCACTTTGTTGGCAATGACGCTTTTATAGACACCTGCATGCGCGTGGCTGACGGATGTGAACACCAGGCGATGGATATCCTTATCTGGGGGGGACAGGAGATGCTGGTAAGACTCTGACAGCCAAGCAGTGTGGAGCTCCCCTCCCTGCCTCACGTGGCATGAAGGTCTGGGGGGAGTGATGCCTTCTCTCAGGGTGTTCCCCTTCTTCCACTCTGGTTGGAGGTATCCCAAGGAGGTGGGAAGCGCAGTAAGGAGCCTTACACTGCATCATCTTGCGGTCATCAGTGCTGTCGATGCGGGAGCCATTGTGGAACCAGGTGATGGAGGGGTAAGGCAGCCCAGCCACCTGGCACTCCAGTACAGCCTCTTTGGACTCCACCACATCTAAGTTGTGCAGCGGCTTCAGAAAATCAGGCATGGTGAAGCACTCCGTCTCCATCTCCACCTGCTCTGGCTCCTCTGGGATTGATGGCATCTTCTCCAACTTGGAGCTGCAAGAGCCGACAAACGCTAGTGGCAGGAGCACAGTGTCCTCAGCCCAGCCCTGACCCCAGGCTTTGCACATGCCAGTTGTTTCCCAAATCCCAGGGGTGAGCAAGCAGAGGGGATCCAGATTCCAGACACCTCTAACTCTTACATCTGGGAGGCAGCAGATGGCCGTGGCTCCTCCACGTAGAGCTCAGCAGAACACTCCACATGGCCATGGGCATTCGTGGCAGTTACCACATACTGCCCTTCATCCTCACTGCCCACATGCACGATGACCAGCGAATGCAGCCCTCCATCCCGCTGAATCCGCACATTCTCCCCTTCCTGCACTGGCTGGCCTGCATGGAGACACACACCAGCATCAGCATCAGCACCAGCAGCTCTCCCAGCCCCAGCCCTTGGGTGCAGTCCCCAAGGAGAGCAGAGAGGTCTCGCTGCAGGGCACTAGCCAAGCTCTCTGGACTTGGCAGTTACCAAAATGAGTCCAGGTGACTGTCGGGGTGGGAGTCCCACTGATCATGCAGTCAAACCGTGCTGTCCGCCCTTCTACCACGTCTACATCCTCCAGCTTGCGGGTGAAGAGTGGCTGCACAGAGGGCTGTACCGTCAGCCGGGCGCTGCAGGTCAGCTCATCTACAAGGAGAGTGGGCAGGGGTGAGCCCCACACAGCATGCTTGTGTGCAGGGCAGGAGGCAGCTGAGACCCCCCTGCTGCAGCCCCAGCAGCCAGCGTGGGGGCTGATCACAGGTGTGCTGGGTAGCAGGCTCTGTCCCCACACGGGGCAGAGGCGGTACAAGTGTTTGCAAAGTCCCCGTGTGCAGGGCTGGGGCTCTGCTGGCAGCAGGATGCCTCTTTCCCACCCACACAGGAGTGCAGATGCCAGCAGCAAGGTGGGGTGGGAGGATGCCCTCTGCTCCCCATAAGGCAGGAGGTCACAGCTGGCCTAGCCCAGTGGGGACAGCGGGGTGATGCTGAAGCAGGCAGTGCCAGCACATGCAGCACCCAGGGGCAATGCAGGGATGGGCACAGACTGGATGTTCCAGGTGAGGGGGTTTGCAGCACGGACTGCTTTGAAATGATGGTGTTGTTGCCCAGCTTGGGCAGGGGTGATACCATGTTCAAGCACAGCCTCACCTCCCTGCACCCAAAACTGCTGCTGCCCTCAAATCCCTGCAGGCATACTGCCTTCTCCATGGAGGAATGCGCTGGCGCCAGCTGCAGGGTGCTGAGAATGCACCCACTGCAGCCTGGGTCACTGCCGAGAGGCTGCCCAGGCCAGCTGAGGAATAGGAAAGGGGCCCTTGTCCCTGCCCTGCTGCAGGGGACAGATGCTGTCGGCAGCATGCATAGGCACAGGGGGTCTTGGAGCCAGAGGCCAGGTCCTGCTGCTCTTCCTCAGCGGCCACCAGTGATGGCTTGCTGGGAAAGGGTGGGCAGCCCTGAACCCATTGCCCCTGCCACTTCCCAGGCCAGCAGAGACAGGCTGGTACTGGAGCTGTGTGCCCGGGGGCTCTGGAGACAGGGGACAGAGACAGCTGGGCTCCAGGGCTCCATCCAGCCACTGCAGCCTTAGTGCAAACTCATCTCCCCATGTTTCTGGAAGTTGCATGCATGGTGGCAGAGGAGCCAGATGGGGCAGGACTCAGGATGCTGCAGAAGGACTGATACAGACCAGGTTTCCCAGAGCTGAGAGCTCCCCAGCTCCTAGGGCAGCAATTCCTGCACCCCTTGGCCCCCACGACCAGCAATCACAGCTACATCCCAGGGGGACCAGAGCCCCGAACCCAGGAGCGGAGTGGACTGCCCACCTCCAGCACCCCCTTAAGGCCAAGCCCCGAGCAACAACCCCTCGGGAGCTGCGTGACCTCCGCTTACCTTTGGCAGTGCTGAGCTTGCAGGTGTAGATCCCGCTGTCGTCCTCGTGCACGGAGGTGAGCAGCAGCTTGCACTTGCGCCCGTCAAAATGCATCTTGCATTTGAGCAGGGCGGGCTGGAGCAGCCGGCCCCGCGACAGCCAGTCCACGTCCATGTCTGGCGGGCCAGCCACCATGCACTCAAAGAGTGCCAGCTCCCCCGCCCCGACCACCAAGTCCTGCAGGGGAACCACGATGGCCAGGGACTGGCACTCGGGGCGAGCTGCCCAGGGAGGGGGGAGAGAGAGAAAGAAAGAGAGACGCGTCTCAGCAACTGAAGAGCAACCATGAGAGGTGGCGGGGATGGAGGGGGACAACGTGCGGGGTAGGGGGGGGACATGCGGGGAGGGGGCCCGGTGCAGTGGGCAGGGAGTGCAGCAGGGAAGGTTGGGAGAGGGGGGGAGATGTGTAAAGCAGAGCTGAGCTGGGGAGGGGGCCGGGGCGAGGGAGGTGTCCGTGCCAGGAACACACCACACAGCGCTTTACCAAACAGAGTTTATTAGAGCTACAAAAAAAAAAAAAAAAAGGGTCACGGCCTCGCAGCCCGCCCCCCGCCAGGCCCCGGAGCCCGGGCTGCTCCGCATGCACCCCGAGCCCTGCGGCTGCGAGGGATGTCTCACGGTGGCCGGGGCGGTGCCTGGGTGGCCGCCACAAAGCCGAAGGGGCCAATGCTCTCCCCCCCCACTGCGGTCGGCGCAGGGTGCTCCCCCGCGGGGGTCCCTGGGCTCTCCTGTCCCCATACTCCAAGGTGACCACTGCAGAGCTGCCACTGAGCTGCCGCAACCCCTCCCCTACAGCCGCGAGGGTTCAGCTCCCTGCTCCCCTTCCCTGGGCACCAAGGAGCAGCAGGACACGCAGACAGGGACAAACGGATGGAGCAAGAGACAAGACAGCATCGTACGGCCGCCCTGGCCCGGCTGGGGGCGTGCCTGGCGCTCCCCCGCCGCTCCCCCCACCCCGCCTCGGTTACGCCTGCCCGGGCCATCCGGTGAGCCCCTGCCCGCAGTCGAGGGCCCGCGAGTCCCCGCGGTGCGTCCAGGACGAGGCGGCGGATGGAGCAGAAGGTAATAACACAAGGTGAGGTCCACTGCCTAAGAGGTGTCCAACTAAGAGCCCCGCGGCCGCGGCTCTGAGAGATGCACCCCCTTATCGTACTCCCCCTGCGTACAGACAAAAACCGCAGTCAGCAAGCATTAGGGTTAGTGCAGCAGCGACGGGGCCGGCACGCACGCACATGCCAGCGCCGGCACGAGGGGTGCGAGTGCACATCAAGGCAGGGAGCCATCCGCAGAGAGGCCAGGGCTTGGGTCATGGCCCCTGCGGCCCCTCTCCTGCCGGCCGTGGGGCAGGGGGCTGGCTCCCGCTCCCACCCCTGTGCCGCCGCACTTTGCCGAGGGCTGGCAGCGGCGTCCTGGCAGGGTACAAGCAGTGCAGCCAAGGCCAGGGCAGAATGGGCTCAAGCAGCCATCAGCAGGGAAGGCTAGGGGCGCAGGGTACACACAGCAAAAGGCAAGAGGAGGGAGGTAGTAGCATCACTCATCCCCGCAGACTCCTTCCCTGACTGCAGATGTCAGGTAGAGCCTGGCTATCAGACTCAAATCCATCTCCCCCGCCCCATTTGCACGTATATATTGGGGTCCTAAGAGGACCACAGCAAGGCTGGGGAGGACACGGCAAGGGAAAGGGGCTGGACAGCACAGTCCCACATATATGGGGCTATTGCTGGAAACAGGCAAGGGGGGATGTCTCCAAGCTGCCCTGTGCCTGGCACACAGCTTGCAGCTGCCTGGGGCAGGGAGGGAGCTGTCAGCACAGCAGGGTGGGGGGACATGTCCCCTGCAGGGCTACCAAGGGCAAAAGCCCTCCCTGTGCAGCCAGGAGCAGCACCCAGCCCCAGCATGGTGGGTACATGTGGGGCCGTGGGATGAAGCCGGACTGCAGGGAGCAGTGGGCTCTGGGTCAGGCTGGCAGAGGCTCTGGCACAGCTGGGTGGTGGGACCCAGGGCCATGGGGTTGCACATCTGCCTTCTGCTGCAGGGCCAGCCCCTGCAGGCAGCCCCCAGGCACACAGCTCCACTTCACTGCTCCCCTCTTGCACCTGCCTGCGCTGAAGCAGGGAAGGGCAGGCTGGCTCATCCCCTTCTTCCAGTACTGCCAAGGAGGGGTCTGCAGTGGCCCCTTCCCCACACAGCTCATGCAGGGCAATGGATCCAGCTGGCCCCTCAGGGCTGGAGGGACACTCCTGGGGAGCTTTACCTCTGACTTCCAGCTTAGCCTCACACTGCTTGGTGCCATACTCATTGACGGCCTTGCAGGTGTAGAAACCGGTGTCACTGTGCTCTGCCGCCAGGATGTGCAGTGTGAAGAGGCCCCGCACCCCCTCCGCTTCCTCCGCATGGTGTCGACGGCCGTACTTCACTGGCTGCCGGTTCCTCAGCCTGCTCGGGACACGGGTAGAGTGGCACGGTCACATCTGGCCTTGCACACCCAGGCTGGCTGTCCCCAGAAGACCCCTCTCCCCCACCCCATATGCTGCTCAGGATCAGTGGTCTGAGCTGGTCATCCCCAAATGGGAAGATCACCGTGCCCATCCCCTCCTTCCCTGCCCGTGACCCAGTGAGCAGCGGGACTCACCAGTAAATGATGGGCTTGGGCTCCCCACGGACGCGGACGCTCATGCTGACATCCTGCCCCTCCAGCACTGACTGGTCCGACAGGGACACCTGGGGAAGCAGGTGTCAGAAAGCAGCGAGCACCCACCTACACCTAGGGCCATGCATCCCCACTACTGCACCCAGAGCTATGGGTCCCGTGTCACAACAGCAGCCCTGGAGTACTAGGGGAGCTAGTAGGATTGGAGGCTGCCCAAGTGCCAGGAGCCTTCCACATCAGGGGGTAGGAAGGCCTCACCCAGCAGCCCCTGGCACTGTGGACCACAGGCTGTGGTCACAGGGCACTGCTTCCCCTCTTGCCATATCCCAGGCAGTTGTCAGCTCACCTCAAAGGTGGGTGCAGCCTTGAAAGTGCTCTGTGGGGAGCCATGGGCAGCCCCATGCTCTGCTCTAGGCTGCAGCTTCATGGCTGGTCGGTGCTGAGGGGTGCCGGACTCAGGGAACTCTTCCAGGGGGCTCAGGTACTCCTCATCAGAGGTGATGGGGCTGGCCTGGCCGAGGGGCGAAGGCAAGTTCCCATGCCGCTCCACGGCGGGGGCTAGAACAGGAGAGCCTGGATAAGGAGCTGTCAGCAGCCAGAGCCGGGCAGGCAGGTCAAGGCACCCCTCCCCACCACCCTGCACTCCAGGGCTGCCCGAGGAGCCCCATCCCACGGCACATCGGCAGCAGCCAGCAGCGAAGGGGTGAAGGCGCCGCGCAGGGGGAGGGTGTGAGCATGAGCAGCACTCCACGGGACGATAAGGGGACGCGATATCCCGCAAGGCGACAGCAGGGCTCAAGTGGCTCTTACGCAGCAGCCCGCGCTCCCATCCTTAAGCCGCCCGGATTCCCGGGATGGCTGCCCCGGCTCCGACCGGCGAGGGCTGAAGGTGACATTGGCAGCTGCGCTGCCCCAGCAGCCCGCCGGCCGCATGCTGCGGCGCAAGCTCCAGGCCCGCCGGCGTGGGGAGCCCACCCGGGGCCTCGATGGGGGTGCGAAGAGGGGAGCAGAGAGCGGCGTGGGGCGCTGGCAGAGCGCGGCTGCCTTGCTAGGGGTGCCGGCCCCGCGCCTGCCCGGCTACCGAGAGCACTCACCCCCCCGCCCTGCCCGGGGGCAGGCGGGCGAGTTACCCGGTGCAGGGCGAGGGCTGTGGCTCGCCGGGCCCCCCAAGGACAGCCCCAGCCCAGAGAGCTGTGGATACCATCCCGGCTCCCCCCGCCCGCCAGCCCGTACCCACCCCACTCACCGCAGGGCCCCGCCCCGAGCCGGGCCGGGCCGCACAGCCGGGCCGCCGCTGCCGCCGCCGCCGCCGAGGCCGAGGCCGGTGCTGCGGGGCCAGGCGCGCCTCCAGCCCTCCCGGCCCACTGAGCCCGCCCCAGCGCCGCCCGGCCCTCGGGGCTGGGCCAGAGGCCCGGGGGAGGGCCCACCGCGGGGCTGGGGGCCCCTGCCCGGCCCCCCGCGCTGTGCCGGGCACGGCAGCTGTTGCCCCTGGGTGTACAGCCGCGCTGCACCACAGAGTGTGTGGGATTTTGGGTGCTTCCACCTTCCAGGGCAGCTCTAAGCTTCTGCACGCTCCCTAGGAACACTGTGGGGATGGGAGCGCCTTGGGGCTGAGGCGGGCTGAGTACCCCCACGGCAGAGGGCAGACAGGCTACCCCCCCGGCTAGCGGCTTGGTGGGCAGGCAGGGTATTCCCACAGCTCACAGCTTGTGAGACAGTGGTATCCCCAAGGTAGCAGGTTGGAGGCAGGGGTATTCCCAGTGCACAGACTGGAGAGCAGGCTGAGGTACCCCCATGGCTAGTGGGGCATGGCACAGATGTGTGGGAGCCCGGACTACTCAGGGGGATGCTTATAGCCTGACCCACTCTCCCTCCGCCCCGGCAGGACCTCTCTGTGCTTGCCCGGAGCACGTCAGCTGCTTTGGTTCAGACAGAGCCTTGTAGGGTAAGGAAGCCGGTTTCTTCCCAGTGACAGCAGCGGCCGTGCTGGCAGGCAGCCTGCAGCGCTGCCGGCCCTCCTGCCACCGTCCCTCCCGCCACCGGCCGCCCTCCTGGTACCGGCACTCACCTGGCCGCACGCTGAGAATGGCACTGCAGCAGGTCGCTCCCACCTCGTTGGACGCGCTGACGGTGTAGAGGCCAGCGTCGGCTACCCGGGCGCTTCGGACGAGCAGGGTATGGCGCTCGCCCTCTGCCTTGATGGGTCGCGTCGTGGTGCTCCGCAGCGGGACCCCGTCCTTCCTCCAGGACACTGCCGGCAGAGGAGAGGGTCACTCGCGGGCACCGGGGCACCCCTTTGCCTTGGGAAGCAGCCCCGGGTTCCCACTGCCCCTGACGGAAAGCGGGGCTGGCCCGTCTGATTCCTGGCGTCCTCCTGCCCTCCAGTGGAGGCTGGAGGAGGGAAGCAAAGCCGCTTCGCTTCTGCCCAGCTCTGTCGGATGGTACCGGTTCTGTCTGCTCAGCCTACATCCAGGCTACGCCATGCCCGAAGCCCATTAGCCCTGAGCAGGGCATTTGGGCACTACCTCAGGGAAACCACCTGAGCTGGCACAACAGTAGCTCAGAGCATCGCCCATCCTGCTCATGCGATCCTCAGCAGCCCTACTCCTGCTCTCCCAATGACCCAGCACAGCACAGGAGAACCACAGGCACCCGGCCTGCACCCTGCCCTGGCAGGCAGTGCCCAAGCACTTCACTCCTGCTTAGGGGTAGACAGGGCAAAAATGGTGCTCCCGGGCCGAGCGCATCACAGCCCTGTAACATCCAGCTCAGGACTGCATGTCGTACCTCGTGCAGCTCATGTGGCCCCAGGGGATGGATCAGAGAGTGGGATGTGGACATGCAGAGAGCCCCTCCACCACACTCACACCTCCAACATCCCCAGCGCTGCAGTCACTCACCTTCTGGCTGGGGATTGGCAGTAACAATGCACTTGAGTAGCACCTCTGCCCCCACAGTCACCGCCATGTCCTGGATGGGGATCTCAAAGATGGGGGCTTCCAGGGGGTCTTCACCCGCAGAAACATAGGAGTCATCAGAGGACTCTGCACAGGGAGAAACAGGCCCCACGGCTGTCAGCAGGATGGAGTGAGTGGTCCTGTGTTGCCATGAGCGGCATGCAGGCAGAGCAGGGTCCTCACAGCCCCTCTGCCCATTGCTGCCACCATGTGCCTCACACCTTCACTGGGGCATTAGCAAGTCCCTGGCCATGCAATGGAGGAAAGTGCCACATCAGAGGCCATCATGGTACAATACCTGCAGCAGGACACAGCAGGGAACCACAGGGCAGGGAGCGTACAGCCTGCTTTACATGCCCACGTAGCATAAGGGATGAGGGGACAATAGGGTGTGGAAGGAGGAGGGTTGTACAGCCCACCACAGCCCCCACTCCAAGCTCCCCCTAACCCTCCTCAGGGTGCTGGCTGTGCTGCTCCACCATATCAGCACCAGCCTCCCAGCTCCCTCCCTTTCCATGGCCCCAGCACATGGGCAAAGGTCCTGGGACTGTGCCAGGAGCCTCATGCACGTGGGCCTGGCACTGCTCCAGCCAGAGCAGAGTCTGGAATGAGCTCCCAGCCCGCATGCAGTCTGGTCTCACCCCTGCGTGCTGGGATGGGCAGAGCTCCTCTCCCTCAGCCACACCACCGCAGCATCCCCTGGGGACACTTAGGCTGCACGCCTGCCTGAAGTACCAAGCACAGTCCAGCCAGGACAAGCTACAATGGGTGCCCTGTGCCCTGGGATGGCCAGACGAGCCCAGGGCTGGGTGCCAGAGGTCAGCACCCTGCATGCTTCCTATGCCATGACAGGAGGGACAGAGACTTCAGCAAGCATCATGACCTCAAGGCCCAGCAAACTGGGTACCAAAAAAGGTACCCAAGGTGGTCTGTTTTATGGTGCTGTTTGATGCCAACATCCCCAACCTCCAGAGCCATGCCCTCCTGCCCCACTGCTGTGCTCTCTGGCACAGCCTGTGCTCCCCACACCTCCCCAGGGTAGTCTGAGGGCCCTCCACCCTGCTCTGGGGCTGGTCAGGCCAGCTCTGTGCCCAAAGGAGGGCTTAAAGGCATGCCCCTACCTAGCTCTGGAGAGGTGGGCCTGGCTCGGCGCCCCTTCCCCTTGCTCCGTGTGCTCCTGCCTTCTTGAGCCATCCGGCCACTCTCTTTCTTCTCTGACACTTTCATCTGCCTTCTCTCCACCTCCCTGCCCGTGCTGTGCTGCCCTGTCCAGCTCCTCTCCAGGTGAGCCTCCTGTTCCATTCCCGGCTTCGCCCAGGGCAGGAACCGCACCTCCATGGGTGCCTCTGGCCGCCGGTACAGTCCGTGGGGCACAGCCAGCCGGGCAGCCAGGGCTTCACTCACTGCCCCATGGGCACGGGCTCCACTGGCAGGGCTCCCGTCCAGACACGGGCTGCCTTCAGCGGGACCCGCCTGTGACAGGGGCGCCCGTACCCGTGGGGTGGCTTGTGCTAACAGCCACTGCTCCTTCTTCTTCACTTCCCCAGTGCCTTCTTGCTGCAGACCCTTTCTGGTGCCTGCATCCTCCACCTCAGCAGGCTGACCGGTCACTGGACCACCCCGTGCTGGGGCTTTCCTCCCACGCTGCCCTCCCGGGTCTGGCTCCCCATCAGGTCCCACCAGTGCCACACTGGAAAGTGCCAGGTGTTGGATGACATGTGTGCTCTCCGATGGCGAGGTCTTTGTTGGCAGTGCCTTGCGCCCACCGCCGCCCTGTGAGGAGGGGGTGCGGGGCACGCGGGGGGCAGCAGGCTCGCTGGCCGCTGGGGGTGAGGGTGCTGGGGGCAGCCCGGCTTTGCACAGTTCCTGGGAGCGCCGCAGCTGCTGCTTGGAGACCGTCCGCTTGATGCGGGTCAACTCCTCCGCAAACTTGTGCTCAATGGCGTAGACACGGCTGGCAAACTTGCCGCGCTCGTCAAAGGATGCGGCTTTCTGCCGGAAGGCCAAACGCCGACATGCTGCCGTGCTGCCTGGCTCCCAGTGGCTGCCTTCCTGCACATCCTCCCGCGAGCCACCGAGCGTGCTGGGACGGCGCAAGCTGGTGCCTGGCTGGTCGAAGGAACGTGTCTTGCGCAAGGGCATGGGGCAGGGGCTGTCCGACCGCTCCAGGCTCCTCTGCCGCTCCTCAAAGTACTGCAGCCTCTCGAAAATCTTGGAGCCGGCACGCACCAGCTTGGGGGATGCCCGGATGGAGATGCGTCCAGAGGTGTCGCTCATGGGTGTCTGGGGACGGGACTCTTGCGTGCTGCCCTGTGAGTACCCCGAGGACTTGGGCTTCTTGATCTTCTCTTCATACTCCTCAGGGACAGTGTCCTGGTAGTCAGCCGGCACCAAGGACTTCTTGCGGGGGGTGACGGGTGTGGAGGAAGGGACGCCAGGGCCACGAGCAGCAGGCTGGGACGTGGCACCAGTGGGTGATGGCAGGCACAGACCACCGTGGGGAGATGGCGAGCGGATGATGGGTGGCTTGGCAATCAGCGGCAGGGCAGCGGGGGACCTTGGGGCCTCGGCACCGGGCTTTGGAGAGACAGAGCCGCTGTGGGGATCATCTCTTCGATAGCCTCCCTGGGGGATGCTGCTGCAAAGGGAGACACAGAGGAGTGCGGTTCAGAGCCCACCCTCACCACTTGGCTGCAGCCCAGCTCCCAGCCTGCAGCATGGTGCCCAGTGGGGCATGGCAAGGCAGCCCCAGGACCAGGAAGCCTTGAGTAGCCCCAGCGAGGACACCTGACCACTCCAAGACCACCAGTTGGCTGGGTTGGGTGATGGTCTTGGGCTGCTGTGACACCCCCTTACCCAGGGGTACCCATGCAGGACAGGCAGGTGATGCTGGGATACCCAGCAAGTCCTCTCCCCAGGGCTGTCACGCTGACAGGACCCAGGGGTACGGGGTGCCCTAGTTTGCTGGGGTGTCCTGGAGTGCTGAGACAGTGTGGCACAGGCCAGCTCTTCTGCAACATGGAGAGGGTCCCCAAGGCTAGAAACCCTCTCTGTGCACATGCTGCTGCAGTTGCATCCCCCCACCCGCTGCCCCCAGGTAGGCTTGGCAATCACAGTGCAGAAATCATAAGGTGGAGATGACGTTCTGGTGGAACAAGCAGCCTCAAACAAAAAAAAAGGGACAGGATGGAGGTCGAAGGAGGGCCTGCAGGAATGGGGACTGAAGGTGGGAGGAGGGACAAGGGCTCTGAGCACATCAGCAGGTCATGGGGAAGCAGCAAGTCACTGGCCCCTGCTGCCACCCCTGGGCAGTAGGGACTCTGGGTGTCAGGCATCAGTGGGTGTCCCAGGCTGCCATGCGTCCCTAGGTCCCCTCGCCCTTCACTGCACAGAGGGCCCAGGGCTGGGCAGGATAGGGGGACACCAACTCCAGAGCCTGTGTGTGGGATGCTGCAGCTCACACAGCAGCCCAGGGGTTATCCCCAGCTCCAACCTGGCCACAGCAGAAAGAGATGCCACTCCACATCATCTGCCCCCCATGCAAACCCCATGCTGTTACCCTCCCTCCCTGGTTGGTCCCACGTCCTCACCAGGCGCAGGCTGCCTACTGCTCAGAGCCCCCATTCCTCATTCAGGCATGGTGAAGGCAAAGAAAGCCCAGGCAGAGGGGAGGAGATGGCTGAGGAGGCTGGACGGAGATGGCCCCAGCGTGATGTTCCCTCACACGCTTCCCCGCGCTACTTACACGTGGAGCGAGAGCGCCCGTCCTCGGTACAGGCTGAAGGCGCTGCCGTAGGGGTCGCTGGCCACCGAAAGGCTATCCTCCGACCCCCAGCTCGTGCCCAAAAGATTAGCCCGTGATGCCCGCACCAGCGGCTCCACGCCCAGGTGCCGGACCTCGGCGCTGCATGGGGCCGGCGCGTTTGCTTGCCTTGGGGTTCCCTGCGGCTGTGGCCAGGCAGCGGGGCGGAGATAGGGTCCCCGTGCAGAGAGGCTGGCTTCCGTCTCCTTCTCTAGCACCGTCTGCTGGCTGCCCGACCAGCTTGAGCGCTCCTCTGCCTGTGACAGGGCCAGCACAGAGGTCGGAGTTGTGTTCATGGAGGCGTCCACAAGGGTGTCAGACCCACCTGGAAGGAGAGAGCTGGGCTAACACTGAGTGCCCATGGGGATGAGCCCAGCACCCTGCTCAGGGAGGACTGAGCCACCACAGAGCATCCTAGGGTGTCCCAAGCAGCACCCTGCTGCCCCAGGCTTTCTCCCCTTTGCATGGGTTGGTCACAGCTCCCCCCGTCCCTGGAGACCCACAGAGCTGAGACAGCAGAGTCCTGGTCGGGGGCTATGCACCACAGCTGGTGCCAGGGCTCAGTACCAGAAGAGTGCCCCCTGCTCACCCGTGGGGGTGCTGAAGGCCGTCTCATCCTGGAGCTCACTGCGCTGCGTCACCTGGGGGTCACTGGGCTCATCCTCGCCTGTCTCCGAGTCTGGGGGAAACGGGGGAGGAAGGGGCATTAGGGGGTGAGGGGACACAGGGACAGAAGGCCAGGCTGGTGCTGACCCTTGCAGACCCACCGGCTCCAGCGGCAGCAGAGCACTGCCCAGGCAACTCCCGGAGGAGGTAGTGCTGGGGCATCCGGCACAACTGTGACCTGCAGGGATGAGCTGCCAGCAGGGAAAGGCAGGACCCAGGGTGGGAAAGTCCAGAAGGGCAAGGGCACGCAAAGCAGGCAGGAGCAGCGTTAGGTGATGGGAGGAAGGGAGATGATGCTGGCCATGGGAATGCTGTTGGTGGAAGCAGTGTGGGAACGCGGAGGCAGGGCAAGGGGATGATGGCAGTGATGGGGCAGGGAGGCAGGCTGGGACATGGGGCCTGCTCTGCAGATGAGGCTGGCATTGGGCAGGGGTCTTCCTACCGTAGCTTTGTTTCCTGCAGGAGCGGAAAACTTCGCTTCCATAGGGGCAGCAAGAGAGAGAGAGACATCAACACCAGGTTATCGGCCCGGCCTGCGGAGACGCGAGGGCAGCAGGGAGGGACCCTGTCCCCAGTATCTCCCCATGCTTCCGTGGGGCAGGGACCTGCCAGGGCAGCTCCTGGGTGGATGATGCCAGCTCAGAAAGCATGGCACCCTGTGCTGGGCTTCTGGTCCAGGATGGGGCCAGGACTGGCCATTAGCACCCTACGCCCTGGCTGGCCCCGTGGCAGGGGCCTGGTGCCCAGAGGGTGCGGAAACAGGTCTGGCACCCCCAACTTCCCCACCACGCCTCCATTCTGCACCCATGTTCACTGCACACAGCTCCAGTGCTGCACACTGACCCCCCTTGACACACACCATCCCACCTGTGCAGTGTCTGGCGCCATCCCCTCCAGGTGCCATGGCCACATCCTGCCAGGCAGGGCAGCCACCTCCTGTCCCCGAAGCTGCTCTATGGGCTGGACTGTAGCCACTGTAGCACCCACACATCCACATGCTCCACAGAGCACCGCAGCCTGGGGCTGGACCACCCAGCCTATGCCCCAGCTGGGTGCTCCTGGGGATGCTGGGGTGCACAGACATGTGCCCTCTGGCACTTAAACATGCATCCTCTACCCCATCGGTGGCAAATGTTGCGTGATATGGCCCTGTCTCACAGCATGGCCCTGGCTAATAAAGCAGGGATGCTCAGGGCAAGGCATCCGTGAGATCTTTCCCACAGGCAGGATGCAGCCACCCTAATGTCCTGTCCCAGGAAAGTCAACGCTGTGCAGGCAGGGAGGGCCAGACTTCCCCCCCTGCCACTGCTGGAGCCCTCGCAAGGTGCTGCGATAGACCCTGTAGTGAGGGATGTGTTCCCTGCTCCATCAACACTCCTCCTCCCTGCACTGCTATTGCGGATGAGGGGGCACACTGGTGACCCCCACCCCAAGGCACCCCTCTGCATCCCAGCACACTGCAGGCTGTACTGTGCGCTGCCACAGACAGCATCATCCCCAGCCCAGCTATGACAGCCTGGCAGCCCCTGAGCAACCAGAGCTGCAGAACCAGGAACAGCCCAGCCTCGTGAGGCACACCCAGAGCCCCTAGCTGACCAAGACCCCATTTTGGGGCTGGCAAAATGCAGCCCAGCCCTGCCCAGCCTCTGCTTGCTGTCCCCCCGCATCACAGCAGTGGGGCTGGACCCCTTCCCGGGTGGCAGGGGGTAACTCAACGCACCATGCGTGAAGCGCCCAAAGCGCCGCGTGTGGCCGGTCTTCTGCAAACAAAAAGAGAAGAGAGGGTTACCCAGGGCACAGCACCAGGCACTGCTCACACACGCACACACACACCCCATCACTGCACATGCAGCACCGCTTACACCCACTGTCGCTCACACACAAGCAGAGCACACGTGGTACCGCTCACACGCACACACACATCCCCCGGCTGCACACCCACAGGTACCTACAGGCGCACACCCCCATGCATGGAGACATGGATGGGTGTAGGTGGACACGTGCAGCCATGCACACACACACCTATGCACACACACACACTCCCCTCGGTAACGGTGCTGTGCACCCTGGCCCTGCACCACTGTCCATGCTGGAGAGTGACAGTGTGCACTCCAGCCCTGTGCTGGCAGCCAGTGCCCAGGAAGCAGCAGCCCTGGGCAGCTCAGCTACCCCCGCACCGCCTGCAGCAAGGTCTTTGCTTGGGTGGGTGCCCAAATGCTCTGCAGCCCCTTCGAAGTCACCTCCCGCGCCAGTGTGGGGACAGGGCCAGCAAAGTGTCTTCCAGGCACTGGCCCAGACACTGCCTTGGGCATCTGCCCAGCATGGGGACAGCATCCCCATCCCCGGCAGAGGCCGTGCCAGCTGCAAGAGAGGATGCCTGGCACAAGTGCATGGGACTGGCCCACCTGTGCGGGGCTGGCAGCGTGGGGCCACTCTTGCCCGCGACGTCTGGGCAGACAGGACCTGAGCAGAGCCCGGGGCAGAGGCACACGGAGCTCCCTGCCAGCTTGGCTGCCCTCTGAGATGCAGTCCAGGGCCCAGCACCCACTTGCCAAGGGAGGGACCCGCTGAAGGCAACCTGGCTGCCAGGCCCGGTGTGCACCGACGAAAGCAGAGGGATGGTGTGATCTCCAAGGCAGGCAGCAGTGGGGATGCAGTGTGCAGACAGGCAGGGTTGTGCTGCCAGGACTGAGCATCCTTCCCAGACAGTCTGGGTGACAGGGTCTCCCCAGGACACTGACACCCCATGCCCTGTCTCCCCAGCATGCAGCCCAGGCCTGGACATCCAACTTTCTTGAATCCCTTTGCTCTTCCACCCCTCCTGCCTCCCCCCAGCAACCAAGTAGGGTCACAGACAGACAGCACCAAGGAACGGCCTGCCAAGCATAGCCAGCCGTCAGTTGCCCTTGGAAGGGCAGCAGGCTCATTTTGCATGTCCAAAAGCTCTTGCCACTGCAGTGGCAGCCCCTGATCATGGGCAGCATTTGGGAGCTCCCACCAGCCCCCCACCTGCATGCAGTGCTGGCCAGAGGGCAGTGGCTGCACGAGACACATTTGTATTCAGCAGGCTGAACGAGGCTTCACCTCCCCTCCTCTGCTGACTGTGCTGCTTCTGGCTCGCAGCCCATCTTCCAGGCCAGGGAAAGCTAGATGAGTGATTAACTGCACCATCGGCGGATAATTCCCCCATTAAAAAATGAAAATGCAATTGAATGCCATTATCGGGTGCTCTCGTGGCTTCCCCAGGGACTGGCGCCATCAGCTCTCCATCCAATATGGTGAGTGCACCCACTGGGCCTTGGCTGGGCTCCACTGTCCAGAGCTGTGGGGTGGCTGAGCCCCAATCCCCACACTCTGTAACACTTTCCTGTGGGATCAGGGCACCCCACAGCCTGCACCCGCTTCGGTCACAGCACCCACCCACAGCTTGTCAGGGAGCAAGTGCTGTGTGATGCAGGGTCACCCGTGAGCCAGGAGGTCAAAATGGGGCAGGAGCAGCTCAGGGCTGGGGTCTGGGCAAAGGGGTCAGCAAAAGAATGGGAGGTGTGAATCCCTGTCTGGGATTTCATTTGCACTCTGGGAAATGGGATGAGGGAGCCCCAGGACCCCACTCTGTGCCCACCCAGCCTGGGGTGGGGAGAAAATATGGGATGGGGACATCAGCACCCAGCTTCACCTCTGCCCACAGCGCAGGCAGGTGAGACCAGCTTCTGCCTCCTTCCTCTGCGCCACACACAGATTCATCCTGCCTGGGCTGGGGGTCCTGACCTGACCCTGGCATAGGGCATTCTTCACCATGGCCATGGAGCCAAGGGGAGTCAGGGGAAAAGGGGCTCCTGGGATCATGGGGCAGCCTGCCGCTGCCTACCGTGTGGAGCCCAGCACTGGTGCCATTCGTGTAAGGCAAGTGAGACAGGAAGCAGAGACAGAGTGATGGGGGGGGGGGGGGGCAACTGGTGGGTCGCCTGGTATGGAGGAACAGTCACTGTGGGTGCCCTGATACCCCCTGTGCAGAGCCAGCAATGCAGGACCCTCCCCACCATGCAGGTTTGCTGCCTCCAAGGCCTGATGGGGCAGCCAGGCAGTGCAATGCACCCTGCTCCATAGGGAACCCCCAGCATCCCTGTGGACCTGTGCCCCCTGGCACATCCCAAACCATGGGAAGGGGCTGCAGGTGACAGCCCCTCCCAGGTCCCTGCTGGGCCACCAGTCAGGGTGACAGTGGGGATGCTATGTGCCCATGCTGTGGGGAGCAGTGGGACGAGCTTGTGGGCCCCGGGGGTGTTTCCTGGAAGGATGCCTCCCATCCTCCCCCCCCCCCCCCCCCCCGAGCCCAAGTGACGTCCTTGTGCCTTGCTCGGCAGGGAGCATGCAGCGGGGCCGCGGAGGAGCCTCGCCTGTGCCAGGCATACTCCTGACGCGGAGGGGATGACGCATGCAAAGCCTCGTCTCCAGATCCGTGACCACCGGCAGCCGGGATCCATGGCTGGAGGGAGCCATGAAGAGGCCTCCATTTGCTGCCCTGGCTCCAGGGAGCAGAGAGGGGAGAGGGTGGCATGCGGGGGAGCCCCCGAAGGGGGTCCCAGCCCGGTGCTGGTTCAGGCGGTGCTGAGCACCTGCTCTCTGCCCCTCTTGACTGAACTGGCGAGGACAGGCAGGCAGCTCTGCAAGCGGGGATGATGCCTTTGATGGGCAAAGCCCTGGGGAGCCTCGGGCGGCAGCGGCAGGGCTGGAGAGACACCCCCATCCCCATCCCCATCCCGATGCGCTCCCGCTCCCAGCACTCCCCCTTCCTCCCGGCAGCCCAGAGCTCTTACCTGGAAACGCTTCTTCACCCAGATTTTCTTCATGCTTCTGCAGAGTCCCGGTGGCCCGGTCACACCGGCTCAGGCCCGGCAGGAAGCCAGCCCTCTCCCGGCAGGGTCCCCGCTGTCAGCACGCCGCGGGGGCAAGCGATGCTCCGAGCATCCTCCACCGCTAGCAGCCGGGGACGGCGGAGGGAGAGAAAGGGGC